GGGAGTAGAGCCGTTGGCGCTTAGCAGGAGGGGGCGAACGCGGAGCTGGGGGCCGACGCCCAGACGTCTGGCGGGCAGGCGACCGCTGGCGAGATGAACGGTGAGGGGGCGAACGATGACGATGCGAACAGCGGTCACGGGATCGGCTTCGCGACGCCACGCGACGAGGCGAACGAGGCGACAGCGGCGAACGGGCCGCACCGTGACGATCATCGCGGCGGCTCTCCCGCTTATCGTTGCGAGCTGCCGATGAGCGACAGCGAGGCGAACGCTCCTGGTGCGCCACAGCCTCTGCGCCGGGTCGCAAGACGAACCCCGCGCGCGGGGGCTTCCGCGGTGACAAGGACCTGCCCGCGCGCGGAGCCAACTCGCGCCGCTGGTACTCGAAGCGGCGGCGGATCTGGTCAGCGGACGCCGGCGGAGCAACAGGCACGCTCGCGGCAGGGCGTGCAGAAGGAAGCGGACGGGGAGCAGGATCGCTCTCCGCGGTGCAGTCGCGGCCAAGAGCGCCAAGGAAATCCATTGGCCAACGCTCAAGACGCTTCACTGGCACACGAGGAGCCGACAACGCCGATCTCCCAGGCGCAACAAGCGGAACCTGTGGCAACTACCCCGCGGAGCGGACGGGGAAGCACGCAGGGGAGAGGCGGGCGACGAGGAGCGCGCGGAGGGCAGAGGAGCACAGGCCAAGCGGGAAGGGGACCGCCCTGCCAGTTGCCGAGCCCAATCTGGTTGGGGGAGCCGGCGGAACGAGTCACGCGCCAGTCATTCGCCAGGTGGGGGGCGAGGGGAGGAACACCAGCGCAAGCGGGGAGAAACAGGGATATCAACACAGAGGGGAGTGGAGACGATTATATACCGTCCGATCTGAGGCAACCAGACGATCCCGCCTCACCTCACGCGGAACAAGGAGAGGGGCAAGCGCAGCAACAGGAGAGAGGAACCGGCCGCAGACAGCATCGCAGGGCTCAGCTTCCCCCGGACCAGGCACTATCGGCGTCCCAGCTGGCCTCGTGGGAGGATCTTTTCCAGATCGCGATGACTTGGGACCTTACACTCCTAACCTCCACCACCCACCTACCAATCGTCCGCCGACTGCCGCCGTAGATCCTCAGCGACTACTCCACCTGTATGCTGGCTGCCCTACTTCGGATCTCCAAGTTGCCTAACTGCGCGGGAGCATGGCGGGTCCTCATGTTCCTGCCACGTCTCACGCTAAGACTTAGCCGGAGATCCAGCTCTAGATGGAAACTACTACGGGAGCAGATGCATCTATTCCGATGTGGCCTCTAGACCCAGCTGTACACTGACTACTTGGGGTCAATGCACCTGGCCGAACCACCTCAGCACCAACGTGACCCATTGGGAATCTGCTCACGTGCGGAGGGGTTGGTGAAACGGGGTAACCTGCGAAAGGCGTTAGCAGCCCTACAACCCTCGCCTTCAGCACCTGCGACAATTGCGACACTACAGCAGCTGGAATCGAAACACCCCCAACCCCAAAATGACCTGCCCGAGTGGGTGCATTCCTACACCACACCCACGCAATTCTCAACCACTCTGGAACGCTTTTCCGACGTCCTTGAAGAATGCCCCAGGGGAATTGGGGCTGGCCCATCGGGGTCAACTTTCCAACACTACCGCGATCCAGCGCTAAGTAACATCGAGGTACTAGGGCACCTCCACTCCGCCGTTACGCATCTTCTCTCGACAAATCTTTCCACTGAAGACGCAGCACTACTTGCCCCGTCCCGCCTTATAGCCTTCGCCAAACCAGGGGGGGGGGTACATCCCATTGCGATTGGAGAGTCATTGCTTAGGCTGGCGACGAAGGTGGCGCTCTCAGATCTACAAGGAGAAACGCGAAATTTTTTCCTACCTCAGCAATTTGGCGTGGCAGTCCCTGGAGGTGCAGAATTTGTCATCCATGCTGTCCGAGACCTCACCACGGTGCAGCCCTCCAGCCTAGTACTCCAGCTCGACATTGAGAACGCGTTCAACTCAGTAGAGAGGAGCGCGTTCTTCAACACACTCATCGGCTCCCCACTAGCTCCCCTAATCCCCTTCACACGCTCTTTCTACGCAGCATCTTCACCACTGCTGCTGGACCCATGCTTCAATTCCACCGCACTCACCAGCGGAAGGGGAGTCAGACAGGGGGATCCCCTCGGACCTCTGTTATTTGCAGCGTCTATCCAGCAGCACCTCAGGCACGTAGCAGCGGAGCACCCCGAAGTCACGGTCCTCGCTTACGCGGACGACATAACCATGATTGGACCCGCGGCGGCGACGCTGGAAGTGCTCAGAGAGCTCACGCCGCTGCTGGCACAGGACAGTCTCACCTGCAACTTTAGGAAGTCGTCGGCGTGGTCCACCGTGCCGCTAAGAGGGGACGTACTCCCCATGGGCCTTCCCCTCACCCGCGAGGGGGTGCGGGTGTTGGGAAGTCCAGTGGGGTCGCAGAGCTTCTGCTCTGATTTTGTCCGCAGCACCCTGACAGACGCGGCAGCCCCCTTGGGCTCTCTGGCGTCCATCCACCCACAACACGCCCTCCTGCTACTGTCTCGTTGCATCAGCCGCAGAGTCGGCTACCTGCTGCGCACTACCCCAGCTGACGTCTTACCGCTCTCGGAATGGCACACATGGTGCGCCGAATTTCTGAACACTGCCTTGACCGCCGCCAGCATTCAACTGCCACGCCGACAAGCCGAGTTCAACTTCCTTCTCCGACAGCCAACTCTCCCAGTAGCCCTAGGCGGACTGGGCCTTACGGACCCCACAACTGAAGCAGCACCGGCCTACCTGGCATCTACAACAGAGGCGCTGCGCCTGCTCCGCTCCCTGGACTTACTGGCAACCGCGCCGCTGGGGGCCGACAGCAACGCCCTGCAGCCGTCTGCAGCGCACTCCGTGACCATCCAGGACATGGAGGGGCGACTGCCACCGCTGGCGCTACAAAACCTACGGGAGGAGCAGCAAACCCCGTCCCAGGACCAGCTGCAGCGCGCCCTCTCCCAGGAAGTGCACGCGGCAAAGGCCGACGCCCTAAGAGAGGAGTCACGCGCAATACAGTCAGCCCCCGAGATGGGCCACACACTCCGCCTAGTCAGCCTGAGAGGAGAGGGAGCGGGAGCGTGGCTGCAGGCACTACCCTTGACCCCGGACCTCTGCTTCTCACCGGGACAGTTCCGAGCGGCCCTGGCCTTCCGCATGGGCATCCGACAGAATGTACCAACCGTGTGCGAGTGCGGAGAACTCATAGCCGACTGCAGCCTACCCAACCACTTACTCCGCTGCAGCACAGGCCCCAACAGGACGCGCACACACAACCAGCTGGCCTTCGCCATGGCTAAAATGACGAGGGAGGCGCAGCTGGTGGTATACCTGGAGAATGTGATGTACTCACCTCCGGATGACCCGAAGAAGGCAGATGTGATTGTACAAGACCCGGACAGCGGAGAGACCTGGATCACAGACACCACTATCACTGACCCTGTGCTGCAGAACCGAGACCCTACGGCCCGCAAACCCCCAGGTTGGGCTGCAAGGGAGGCACAGAAGCGGAAGGAGAGGGACTACTACCGACACACTGAACACGTGGTGTTCTACGCCCTGGCCGTCGAGACCTATGGGGCAAACGCGCCCCCCACGACGGCGTTCCTGAAACTGCTGGCCACAAGCAGCAGCTAGGAACCGCTTCAGGGCCAGCCCCTTGGCGAAATCCGCCAAGAAGATGGCCTGCCACTTCAGCCAGCACTGGTCAGTGGCCCTCCAGCGCTCCCAGGCGAACGCCCTGCACACCAAGGCCAGGGCTGGGATTGAGGCAGCACACCCCCAGATGGCAGCGGACCCCTGGCCGCTGCACCTGGGGGACATCCTCCACACGCTGGAGGGCTAGAGGGTCACTCAGGGGGGAGGGGAGGGGAAGAGGGGTGAGTTGATGGGCTTATGGGATTGAGGTTATCATGGATAGAACTGCATGTCTGTACCCCTGCTGAATTAATACAACGGACCATTTGAGAGAGAGAGAGTGAATGCAGATCATGGAGACGAAGGATACAGGCCAGAGGAGAAGCACTAACCAGACATGAATGGATTTGCACATCACACACCAGGTCTGCCACCCATTCCCTCCATCCCCCCCCATCTCGTACCCACAACCAACCCACCCACCACCCACCCTTCCCCCCAACACCCCACCTACCACCCCCAACCCACACCCCCCACCCAAACTTCTCCCCACACCCGCCACCCTCCATTCAGCACGCACTCCCCCTTCTCCCCGCCTACCCCACTCACCATGCGGCGCTTGATCTCTTCCTCCTGCTCCAGCAGCCGCCTCTCCTCCTCATCCCTCCTCTGCCGCTCCGCCTGCCACCCAGCAATGGGGAGGAAACGCAGAGCAGAGTGCGGGGAAAGGCAGAGCAGAGCAGAGCGCATTATGGGCAGGGTAACATGGGATGGGAGGGAGCGCGATGGGGAACAGAAGCACTGCTGCAACTCACTCACTGATATCCCTTTCCAAACACTCACCAGCACTAACAAGAACCAATGAATCAGCACCCACCAGCACCCATCAGCACCTACCAGCACCCAATTTCACCCACCAGCACTATCCAACCTACCTCCAGCAGCTTATCCTCCTCCGCTCTCTTTTTCGACGCCTCTGCCTCTGCCACCTGCCTCTCCGCCTCCGCCCGTTGCTGCTCGCACACACAGGGACGGGGGAGGGTAGGGGTGGGGCGGGTTAGGCATACATGCAAGGGGCATTTGTGAGCCATGCATACATGCGAGGGGCGCATGCAAGAATGAGAGAGAGGAGAGGGGCGGGAGAGGGGAGGAGGGGAGATGAGAATCGAAGAAGGGGAATAGATCAGGGATGAATGGCAAAGTGGTGAGGGGGAGGGGGGGTAACAGGAGTGAAGGAATGCGATAGGAGGTACTGACCGGGGAGAATGAGACAACAAGATGCATGGGCGATGGGGTGGTGAGCGATGGGGTCATGGGATATGGGGGTAGTGAGAGAGAGGAATGAGATGAGGAGGATGGGAGGGGAACGGCGAGACTGGGAGAAAGAGGGAGAGGGAGCTGACCTTGCGCTGCTGCTCCTCCCTCTCGGCCACCTCCAGATGCTGCTTGGCCGAGCTGAGCACATGCTGATGTGTTGTTGGTCATGGGCATGGGCATGGGGATGGGCATGGGCATGGGTGGTATGCGGGGGGGGGAGGGAGAGTGAGACAAAAGAGGGGGAGAGCTGGCCTTGTGTTGCTGCTCCTCCCTCTCAGCCACCTCCAGGTGCTGCTTGGCTGAGCTGGGCACATGCTGATGGTGATCGTTATGGGGTTGGGGATGGGGATGCTGATGGAGACGGGATAGTGGTGCGGTGAAGCCACCCTGCCAGAGATACCCATTCACATGGGCATAACGGATTCAACATAGAGCCTGAACGAGAAAATAACTGTGAGAATCACCTGGCAGTACTCGAGGTGCGAGTTGGCTTTCTTCTTGTCGACCCCCCCCTGTGACCCCTGTACTCCCCGCGTTGCCAGCTGGCGTAGTTGCACAGTCACACAGTCATACACACACACACACATGCACATACAAAGCAAACGCCCCGTCAGCACACATACACACAGCAGCACACATGTATGATTGAGTAGCAACGGCAGTAAGTGCTTGTGGGATGCACACAGGTGATAGCGCATGCAGCGATGAAGGAAGTGACAGGTTGATGCAGTGAGAATCGTGATGCATCACCAATACGGGTGTGGAGTGGCAAAGAGACATGATGTGGGGAGTGAGTGGGACGGGATGTGCTGGGTGGGACATGTGCTGGGTGGGACGGGATGTGCTGGCACACCTGGGAGAAGAGCCGGAGGGCGGTCTTCAAGTCGGACACCACCTTGCGCACCTGATGCACACGAGCAACGAGGCAATCATTGGAGTGAGTTGAAGTGAGTGGGCGTTGACGGGAGTAAGCGTTGGGAGAGGGTGGGCGTTGGAAGGCATGCGAGGAGATATGGACTGGGGCCGTGGCAGCAAGCACTCACTTTCCTGCACTGCCTCATCTCCTGTGCCACCATATCAACAGCCAACTCTGTCCAGAACCACAGTCATTCTGCTCCTTCTGCACGCATGCCCCCTCCCCCTCCACCTGCCTGGCTCACTCCTCACCCCTCCTTCTCCACCATACCTGCTCAGCCGTCCGTTTCTCCTGCTTCAGCACAGTAACTTCAATTTTATGCAGTGCCATCGCTGTCGTGCTCCCTCCTCGCCCTTCCCTCCCCTACCCTTCCCAATCCTTCCCACCACGTCCCCTCCCTCTCAGCCATACCTGCTCAGCCGTCCGCTTCACCTGCTTGAGAAAAGTCACTGCCATCTTCTGCTGCACCACCGCTGTTATCGTCCATCTCACCCCTCTTTCCCCAATCCTTCCCACGCCTCCTCCCTCTCATCCATACCTGCTCTGCCGTCCGTTTCTCCTGCTTCAGCACAGTCACGGCCATTTTCTGCAGCGCCACCGCCACGTTGAACCGCAGGGCGGCGTTGTTCGGCGCTACATGCACCGCCAGCAGCAGCGAGCGGCGGCACTGCGCCAGCTGGTCGGCGTCGTACTGCGCGCAGCGCGCCATATAGGACAAAGTGCGCAAGTGGAAGCCCTCGGCCCCGCTCGCCCCCACTGCCCCGCTTGCAAAGAAGCGTTTCAAAGTCTTCTCGTACTGTTGGAGAGGGGAGGAGGAGGGAGAGGGGAAGGGGGAGGAGGAGGAAGAGGGGAAGAGAGGAAGACTGGGTTTCATTGTGATGGTGGAAAGGACACGAGCAAAGAATGCTCCACTGCAAGCATCAGCTCACTGCAAGCATCAGCTCACTGCAAGCATCAGCTCACTGCAAGCATCAGCTCACTGCAAGCATCAGCTCACTGCAAGCATCAGCTCACTGCAAGCAGCAGCTCACTGCAAGCATCAGCTCACTGCAAGCATCAGCTCACTGCAAGCAGCAGTTGCAATAAAGCACAGTTCGCTCACCAGCCTTGACAGCAAGAGCGTAATCCCCCTTGGCCAAATGCACGTTAGCGAGATTCATCCAGACGTCTGGCAGGTCGGTGGTGCCGGGGGCAGAGGAGGCCTCCTGCACGGAGGTGAAGATGTCCTTTGCCACGTCGAAACAGGCCCCTCTCCGCCACCACACTCCCCACCCCGTTCGCTGCATACATGTTGCTGCTGCTGCCCGTCAATGCCTGGGAGGTGGGGGAAGTGGGGGTTGTATGGGGTTGTGGTTGAGGAGAGGCGCCGCTTAGAGGAGAGGCGCCTCCAAGAGAGTGGGTTGGCAAAAGAGTGAGCAGAGAGGCAAGCACAGGAGGAACTGCTGCTGCGTGTTGAAACAGCGTTGATATCACAGCGTCGATTCGAAAAAAAAGAACCCATGAAGGACAGCATGAAAGCATCTCTTCCCCAACTTGAGAAAGCATCTCATCTTCTCACCAATTTATCCCCCCACGCACGCCTTCTCAAGAAATGATGCCTCTGCCTTGGTGCACATCTCCCGCGTGGTTCGAGATTTGAGTTGACTTAAACCGTGCGAAAGCATCTCATCTTCCCACCAACCCACCCCCCCACGCACCTTGTGAAACATCTCCCGGGCCTTCTCAAGGAAGGATGCCTCTGCTTTGGTGTCGCGCGTGGGGCGAGCACTCATGTTCAAGTTCCAGTTGCCCTGCCATACCATCATTCATGGACACAACGGGGAGTTTTGGAGGAGGTATAGCCTTAGAGGTTAGTGCATTCATTCATGGGTTTCATTCAACGAGCACAGCCAAGACATCTCAACTTAGGATGCCTACCAGAGCAACCAGCGCAGCCGTGCATTTCTCAGGGGAGAGGTCCACGATGCACTTGAGCGTGCCCTTGCGTGGACCAAGGAATGAGCACTCTGCACTGCATTCGACTCAGAAACCCCACCAGAGCAACAAGACGAGAGCATGGCACGCACCAGAGCAACGAGCGCGGTGGTGCATTTCTCAGGGGAGAGGTCCACAATGCCCTTGAGTGTGTCCTTGGCCGCTGCACGGCCGTCTCTCTCCTCTCCATGCACGTGCTCTGCACGGCCGTCTCTCTCCTCTCCATGCACGTGCTCTGCAGCGTGTCCTTGAGTGCGCCAGGCAATGAGACAAGAGATGCTACTCACCAGGGGCAACAAGGGCAGCAGTGCATTTCTCAGGCGAGAGGTCCACGATGCGCTTGAGCGTGTCCTTGGCTGCCGCATGGTCGTCCCTCTCCGCCTCTGCCCGGCTGCGCAGCAGCAACGCGTCCACACTGTCAGGCGCACAGCTGTAGCACGGCTGATATCTGCAGCAGAAAGAGGCACAAGTATACATGGGGAAGGAGGAGGGGGGGGGAGATGGGCTGAGGTATGCCAAGATGAGCAGCAGCACACCCACACTGCTTTCTGCAGTGCTATTGATATGTGCACCAGGAGTGGAGCAAGCAGGAAACAAGTGCGGGAAGAGGGGAATGGGTTGAGTTCATGTCTCGATGCAGCAAGAGAGCATCCAATGGTGGTAGCATTGTGTGATACGATACCACAGCTTTCACCTGCAATTACAAGGGCCTCGACCATCAACTCCCGCCCGCTCCTTACCTGCCAATCAATTTCCCCCCTCTCCCACTGACGCTTTCCAGTTGTTTCCCATCTGCCAATCACCCCCCCACCCCCTCTCCCCCTCCCCGCTCACATGCGTCATGGCAGTGGCGTTGTCTCGGCGGTCCAGTGCCATCACTGCCAGGCGTAGATGGCAGTCCAGGTAGGATGGGTACTGGGGGAGAGGGGAGGGTGAAGGGGGGGTTGGGAGAGTGCAGGGCACGGAGGGACGGGGCAGGTTGCCTCAACGGTCCAGTGCCATGACTGTCAGGCGCAGGTGGCAATCCAGGTAGGATGGGTACTGAGGAGTGGGTAAGGGGGGGTTGGGGTGGGGGTGGGTGGGGTGATAAAACGCAACGGGCAGCTGGTGATACGACAGGAGAAGCACCCAGGCCGAAACAAGGAGGGGCAGCTGCGAGTACGAAGGTACATCTAAGTTGAACACAAACCGATAATGGGGCACACCTGAGAGAGGATGAGGCGGTGGAGGGCACACCTGAGAGAGGGTGAGGCGGTGGAGGGCACACCTGAGAGAGGATGAGGCGGTGGAGGGCAGCGGCCTGGGTGAGGCAGCAGGTGCGCTCGAGGGAGAGAGCGAGGTTGAACACCACTGTCACCTTCTCCACTGGCAGTGCTGTCTCTGCGCCTTTCCTCTCGTCCTCGTCTGCAAGCCCCTCAAGGTGCAGGATGGGCGCCCACGGCCCGTGTGGGCCCAGAGCCTCTTTGTACGCCTGCACTGCCTCCTGTGGGTGGGGTGGGGGGGGGTAGAACGGGGGTGCAGAGGGGGAGAGGGAGAGAGCGAGGTTGAACACCACTGTCACCTTCTCCACTGGCAGTGCCTCCCTCCCTGCATCCCCACCACCCGCTGCATGTGCAGCCCCCTCAGGGTGCAGGATGGGCGCCCACGGCCCATGTGGCCCCAATGCCTCTTTGTATGCTGCCACTGCTTCCTGTAGCGATGGGGGCGGAGCAGTGGTGAGCCGGGGAAAATGAGAGAACGACAGAGGGACAAACGGACAGGGGGAGAGCAGCAGAGGGGCAGGGGAAGGTGACCAGCGGTGTTGGAACGGAGGGGCCTGTACAAAAGCAAGTACAGCACCAATGGTTTGAAAGCAAACGCTGGTGACTATGGTACTTGCACTATCACGCATCTATGTTGGAAAAGTCACCAGCCAGGGACAACGTACAGCGTATATGCGTGGACGTATATACGGAGTACGCAATACGCACGTATATTCGCTCGAAAATGTCTGGGCTGCCCGGCAAAAAAAAATAAAAAAATCGCGCACGAAATTTGAGTTTGCAACGAGACTCACATTGTGCGCACGTCCCAAACAATCTCGTCAACCCTAACACATAAAATTCGAGACGTGGGGGACATTTCAACCGCATTGCACCTTCTGTTACCCCCAGACTCCAACTCATCTTCACAAATGTCATCAACCAGCCAACCACGCAACTCTCTCACCTAGGTGAGTTCCTCCGCTCGTTCATTCTCTCTCCAGTTCCCTCGACAACCTTATGATGTCGACCCCTAATGGCACTCCCGCGAGTGCGACAAGTGAGGTTCCTAGTGCCTCCTCCTGTGACGCGACAATCGCGGATGCGAATCTTCTGGATAGCACTGCCCGGGAAAAAGTTTTACCTGCCCGGGCAGCGTATTTTCAGCGTATAACAAAATCACTCTTGTAGCGCATCCCGTACTATACGCCAGCGTATATACGCTGGCGTATAATACGCTGGGCGCGACTTTTCCAACATAGTCACGCATCTCACCTCGTACGCGCCCCTCTCATGCTGCTCTCACCTCATACGCGCCCCTCTCATGCTGCAGCGCGGCAATGTTGTTCACCAGCTGCCACGGCACGCCCTCCTTGCCCACCGCCTTCACCATGCGCTCATATGCCTGCACTCCAGGGGAAGAGAGGGGGGTGGAGGAGACAGAATAAGTGAGGGAGAGGAGAATAAGTGAGGCGAGTCCGATGGGACTGACACGCCCTCCTTGCCCACCACCTTCACCATGCGCTCATATGCCTGCACTCCAGGGGAAGACAGGGGGGTGGAGGAGGCAGAATAAGTGAGGGAGAGGAGAATAAGTGAGGCGAGTCCGATGGGACTGACACGCCCTCCTTGCCCACCACCTTCACATGCGCTCGTATGCCTGCACTCCAGGGGAAGAGAGGAGGGGTGGGGGGAGGAGAGGAGAATAGTGAGGTGCGGTAGGGCATTACAGGTGGCATGGGGATGGAGAGCGGATGCAACAGCCACGCGCACCCACTTTGGCCAACACCTCGCACATGCGCTCATATGCATGCACTCCCAGTAGAGCTCGCAAAAGGAGGACGAATTCGAGGGACACACAGCAACACGTGAGTCAAGGCGGGGCGATGGCAGTGACATGGGGGGCGAGTGGGGCAGAAGAGCGTGTATCAGCGCGAGTATGTGGGGCCCTTCACAGCAAACCCTTGCAGCGCAGCCAAGCACTGCAGTGCACCGTGAACCTGGGGTGTGAGCGCACCTTCTTGAGAGACTCGAGCGCAGCAGGAAGGTCGGAGGAGACGAGAAGCTCTCCCACCTCCAACCATGCCTGGTGTCGCACAGATGCATGGGGAAGCAGGAAGTAGGAACCATGGAGAAGAAGGAAGGAAGAGACACGTGAGCCACACAGAGGATGCAGCAGGGGAGTGATGCCTCTGCAATTGGAACCAGCATTCACCTCACTCCCACATACGCACACTAGGGATGAGCAAGGTGGCGAACACCTGTTCGGTTCGCCTCGAACGTGTTCGAGGCGAACCGAACAGGTTTTGTTTTTTAGCTCAAATCGTTCGCCGAACAGTGTTCGATGTTCGCCCGAACACGTTCGTGTTCGGGCCGCTGCTGAAATTTGCCCGCGACGAACACGAACAGTGTTCGAGGTTCGCCCGAACACGCCTCCACAGGCGAACAGCGAACACCTGTTTTTTCCTAAACTGTTCGCCGAACCGAACAGTGTTCGGTTCGGCAAAAGAGGGTGTTCGACAAGGGGCGAAGACGAACATGTTCGTGTTCGCCCTTTGCTCATCCCTAACGCACACCATGCCATGTGTACACTCCGCCACACATATCCCAACATGCTGTTGCACCTATGGTCACACGGACACATCCACTCACGTCCATGTCAGAAGGACAGTGCTGGGTGATCTTGATCCTCATGCATGCCCTCCACCACACACACCCATGTCACATGCCCACATGCTGCCCCATAGTCACATGGTCACACATGGTCACGCATGATCACGCATGGTCACGCATGGTTACGCATGGTCATGCATGCTCACGCATGCTCAGGCATGCTCACGCATGCTCACGGCATGCTCACGCATGCTCACGCATGGTCACGCATGGTCACGCATGCTCACGCATGCTCAGAGGCATGCTCACGCATGCTCACGCATGCTCACCGCATGCTCACGCATGGTCACGCATGGTCACGCATGGTCACGCATGGCCCACGCATGGTCCGCATGGTCACGCATGGTCACGCATGGTCACGCATGGTCACGCATGGTCCACGCATGGTCACGCATGGTCAAGCATGGTCGCATGGTCACGCATGGTCACGCATGGTCACGCATGGTCACGCATGGTCACGCATGGTCACGCATGGTCACGCATGTCATGCATGGTCACGCATGGTCACGCATGGTCACGCATGGTCACGCATGTCATGCATGGTCACGCATGGTCATGCATGGTCACGCATGGTCACGCATGGTCACGCATGGTCATGCATGGTCACGCATGGTCACGCATGGTCACGCATGGTCACGCATGGTCACGCATGGTCACGCATGGTCACGCATGGTCACGCATGTCATGCATGGTCACGCATGGTCATGCATGGTCACGCATGGTCACGCATGGTCACGCATGGTCATGCATGGTCACGCATGGTCACGCATGGTCACGCATGGTCACGCATGGTCACGCTTGGTCACGCATGGTCACGCATGATCACGCATGGTCACATGGTCACGCTTGGTCACGCATGGTCACGCATGGTCACGCATGGTCATGCATGGTCAACACGTGGTCACACATGGTCGCACGTGGTCGCACGTGGTCGCACGTGGTCACACATGGTCACACATGGTTACACATGGTCACACATGGTCACACATGGTCACACTTGGTCGCCTTCACTCACATCCATGTCAGAGGGGCAGTGTTGAGTGATCTTGCGGAAGCACGCCAGGGCTTGGTCCTGCCGGCCCTGCTGCAGGTGAATGGCGCCCACCAGCTAATGGGGGAGGGGGGGGGGGAAAGAGAGGATGTACAGAGGAGGAGCGAAAGCGGACATGGCTGGACGAGAAGCAAGGCCACGCCAAGGCTTAGTTTTTGCCGGCCCCACAAACAGAAAGGCACGGAGGGAGGAGGGGATGAACGGGAGAAAAGCATTCGGTGGGGTGTACAGCACCTTACAAGAAGCACAGTCTCCAGTGAGCCCAGCCCAGCGCCTCTAGAGGTCTATCCAAACTGCTCATAGTGCGTTCTGTGCTGCTGCTACCACCTGCCCTTCCCTAAGCCTCTGGCAAGCCTTGCACCTTGAGAGGGATATGGTTCTGAGCTGTTTCGGCCTCCCACTGTGTATCCGTCTCCCTCTCACCTTGAAAGCATGGCTGTTGATGGGGTGCACGGCCAGCACCTTCTGCAGGTTACCACCGCCCCAACTCACTGTTCCCCCTTCCCTCCCTTCTCTCACCTCAACGAGGGCGCGCACTTGGACCAGGCGCGCACTTGGACCAGGCGCGCACATGCGCTAGGATATTGAAAGTAGAGAATACAAAGTGTGAGATTTACGGCTAACACTAACAGTTGGGCTTGGGCGTTGGCTTGGGCGCTGGGCTTGGGCGTTGGGCTTGGGCGCTGGGCTTGGGCGTTGGGCTAGGGCGCTGGGCTTGGGCGTTGGTAGGTAGGTCTATTGGTGGGGTGCACGGCCAGCACCTTCTGCGGGTTACCAGCATCCATGCCTTGCCCAACCTGCTCAACATGCTCCCTGTGGTGCTGCTACCCATGCACCCCAACTCGCTGTCGCCCACTTCCCTCCCTTGTCTCACCTTGAGCGCGTCACTGTTGGTGGGGTGCACGGCCAGCACCTTCTCCAGCGTGCCCACTGCCGCCTTGGCGTCGCCCAGACTCAGCTGAATTTGCCCAGCCCTGCCCGCAGGGGAGAAAGGGGGTGGGAGGGGGAGCGTACACCCATTAGTCAGTCACGCACATGCTTACCAGAATGCCTTCCCTTGCCTTTGAGTCTAAGAATGTGTCACGACAACCAGAGAGAGTGAGAGGTATCATGCTTTGCGGCGCGGAGCGACCGTATGACTCGAGGCAGCAGGTGACAGCGACAGAGAGCAACGGGAGAGTGGGTTGGGAGACAGCGTACCGTAGTAGGGCAGCGCGAACTCCCCCGGCTGCACTGTCTCCGTGGCCGCCTTGTAATACGCAAACGCCTTCTTCCTGTCGCCCTGTGCCGTGACACCCAAAGCAAAGGGAAGGGAACGGAGACAGACAGAATGCTTCGAGAAGGGAAGGATCGAGTGACTGGCGCTGGGTGCACGTGGACACGGCATGCGCATGCCGTGATGCACATCTGGGCGTGGTGATGGCACGGGAAAGCACAACTCACCTGAGCGTGGTAGGTATTGCGCAAGGCAGTAGTAGACATCAGCACGCGGCAGGGCAGCCTCGGTGCTGGCGAGTGCAAGTGAAACCAGACGGTCCACCAGGCCGTGCAGGGAGGGAGGGAGGGATTCTACCAGGGAGGAGTGGCAGCCATGCCACCTGCGCAATTAATTTCTCACCTGAGCGTGGTAGGTGCGCGCGAGGCAGTAGTATGCTTCAGCGCGCGGCAGAGAAGCTTCTGTGCTGGCGAGGGCGAGCGCAGCCAGGGGGTCGACCAGGCCGTGCAGTGAAGGGCCGGCGAGGAAGGCGTGGTTGGCGAGATGGTTGAGCGCCATGGGGTGGAACGGGAAGGCGTGGAACGCTGCTAGCATGCGCTGCTGGCCCCGCTGCACTGCTGTGACTGCGGTAGGCGAGGGGGCAGAGGGGAGGACAGAGAGGTGGGGCAGGTGAAGGGAACGATGGGCGATGGAGGTGCGGTGCAGGATGGGTGGCTGGAGTGACTTTTGAGAATTCTCAAAAGTCACTCCAACAGAACAGAGGCGGAGTGGTGACCGGGGAGGGGGCAGGTCATGATGGGTGGCCACAGGAAAGGTCAGACATGGAGGGCGGGGCCCGTGGTGTTGGTAGCCCAACCGTGCTCATATCAGACACCCATGCATCGTAGCACACACCATTCACCGTGCCCCATGCTCCAAGCCTCGTACCATAATTTAAAATGACATCCAGCAGCCCCAGTGCCACGCGCGCGTCATGCAGCATAGGCAATGCCCCGTACCATCGTCGGAGTTCACATCCAACAGCCCAAGAGCCACCAGCGCGTCTGCGTTCCCTGGCTCCAGCTGCAGCACCCGCTCCAGCGCCTGCCTGGCCTTGCCCGCGTGGAACTCCCTGCGTGCTGCTGCTGGCTGGCGCGCTGCTGAGGAGGCGAAGAGACGCAGGTGGCACAGGCCGATGCCCAGCCGCACTGATGGCGGGCAGCTAGGGTGCAGCTGCAGTACCTTCTGCTTGCGGGGAAAAGGGGAGAAAGAGGGAAGAGTAGGTGAGAAGGGGGGAAGCGGGTGTGCTGAGAGAAAGGCATCTCAGAGTTCTGCATGCAAGTGGGTTGCATGCAAGGGGGTTGCATGCAAGGGGGTTCCATGCAAGGGGGTTGCATGCAAGGGGGTTGCATGCAAGGGGGTGGCGTTGCATGCAAGCGGGTTGCATGCAAGGGGGTGGCGTTGCATGCAAGCGGGTTGCACGGAAGAGGGTCGCAAACACTGTTAAGCTGTAAGGCTGTTGGGCTGTTGGGCTGTTGCGCTATTACGCTGTTACACTGTTACGCTGTTGGGCTGTTGCGCTGTTGCGCTGTTAGGCTGTTGGGATGTTAGACTGTTACACTGTTGCGCTGTTACGCTGCTACGCTGTTAGGATGTTAAGGTGTTATGCTGTTACGCAGTTAGGCTGTTAGGCTGATAGACTGTTAGGCTGTTAGGCTGTTAGGCTGTTACGCTGTAAGGCTGTTACGCTGTTAGGCTGTTAGGCTGTTACGCTGTTACGCTGTCTGTTACGCTGATACGCTGTATTAGATTGTTAGGTTGTTAGGCTGTTACACTGTTAGGCTATTAGGTTGTTAGGCTGTTCTGTTACGCTGTTACACTGCTACGCTGTTACCCTGTTACGATGTTACCCTGTTACACTGTTAGGCTGTTAGGCTATTAGGTTGTTAGGCTTTTACGCTGTTACGCTGTTACGCTGTTAGGATGTTAGGCTGTTACGCTATTACTCTGTTAGGTTGTTAGGCTGTTAGGCTGTTACGCTGTTGACTGTTAAGTTGTTAGGCTGTTAGGCTGTTACGCTGTTACGCTGTTAGGCTGTTAAGCTGTTACGCTGTTACGTTGTTACGATACTAAGATGTTAGGCTGTTACGTTGTTAGGCTGTAAGGCTGTTAGGCTGTAACGTTGTTACGCTGTTACGCCGCTATTACGTTCTTACGCTATTAGGCTGTTGGGTTATTAGGCTTTTATGCTGTTATGATGTTACGCTATTAGGCTGTTAGGCTGTTACGCTGTTAGGCTGTTAGGCTGTTTGGCTGTTACGCTGTTAGGCTGTTAGGCTGTTAGGCTATTACGCTGTTACTCTGTTAGGCTGTCACGCTGTTAGGCTGTTACGCTGTCAAGCTGTCACGCTGTTACGCTGTTAGGCTGTTAAGCTGTTACGCTGTTACGTTGTTACGCTGTTACGCTGTTTGGTTGTTTGGCTGATAGGCTGCTAGGCTGTTAGGTTGTTAGGGCGCGTAACTTTTTCACTTTTCATTGTTCGGACGAGGCCCCGTCCAGACTTTTGTAGGGTTACGAGAGTCGTTGGAGTTCGTCAACAAGTTCGCAAGACCCCTCGCGACGTCGCGATCGTTCGTACGAAGTCTGACACTTTTCTGTCAGCTTATCGTCCGTTCTACACTGCTGACATCGTCCGGACAGCATTTTGGACCGTCCGGAACTCCTTCAACGTCATTGGTGCGTGAGGCACATTTTTCAGAATCGAATTTCCCACTCCAACTTTCAATCTGTTTGTATTGTACTCACAGTAGCGCGAGCAAGAGGACCAAGTGGTTGGAAAGCTCAAACATTACCGAGCCGCAAATGCATGCTTGCAAATTGGGCAATGTGCTGGCGAGGTAGGTTATGCGCGCTACTGTTTTGCACGAATTTCAAATCTTGAAACTGCAAAAAAGTGTCACAATTGTGGTACGGACGCTTCATCGTCCGGACCACATCCCCATCCGTCCGGACGGAGTTCCGTTCGGACGTTTTGGGGGCTCCGTCTGGACATTTGACTAAAACAGACAAAGGTACGCGCCCTTAGGCTGTTAGGCTATTAAGCTGTTACGCTGTTAGGCTGTTAGCCTGTTACGCTATTACTTTGTTATGCTGTTAGGCAGTTAGGCTGTTAGGCTGTTAGGCTGTTACGCTGTTAGGCTGTTAGGGTGTTAGGCTGTTAGGTTGTTAGGCTGTTAGGCTGTAACGTTGTTACAATGTTACGCTGTTACAATGTTACGCTGTTACGTTGTTACCCTCTTACGCTGTTGCGCTGTTACGATGTTAGGCTGTTAGGCTGCTATGCTGTTACGCTGTTAGGCTGTTAGGCTGTTAGGCTGTTAGGCTGTTACGCTGTTACGTTGTTACGCTGCTACGCTGTTAGGCTGTTACATTGTTAGGGGGCAAGGCTGTTAGGCTGTAAGGCTATTAGGCTGTTACGTTGTTACGCTGTTACGCTGCTGTTACGCTGTTAGGCTGTTAGGTTGTTAGGCTTTTACGCTGTTATGCTGTTACGCTGTTAGGCTGTTAGGTTGTTACGATGTTTGGCTGTTAGGCTGTTAGGCTGTTACGCTGTTACGATGTTAGGCTGTTAGGCTGTTAGGCTGTTACGCTGTTACGTTGTTACGCTGCTACGCTGTTAGGCTGTTACATTGTTAGGCTGCAAGGCTGTTAGGCTGTAAGGCTATTAGGCTGTTACGTTGTTACGCTGTTACGCCGCTGTTACGCTGTTAGGCTGTTAGGTTGTTAGGCTGTTAGGTTGTTAGGCTTTTACGCTGTTATGCTGTTACACTGTTAGGCTGTTAGGTTGTTATGATGTTTGGCTGTTAGGCTGTTAGGCTGTTACGCTGTTACGATGTTAGGCTGTTAGGCTGTTAGGCGGTTACGCTGTTAGGCTGTTAGGCGGTTACGCTGTTAGGCTGTTAGGCTGTTAGGCTGTTTCGCTGTCACGCTGTTACATTGTTACGCTGTTAGGCTGTTAGGATGTTAGGCTGTTACACTGTTAGGCTGTTAGGTTGTTACGCTGTTATACTGTTACGCTGTTACGCTGCTACGCTATCACGTTGTTAGGATGTTACCTTGTTACGCTGTTACGCTGTTAGGCTATCACGCTGTCACGCTGTTACGATGTTACGCTGCAACGTTGTTAGGCTGTTAGGCTGTTACACTGTTAGGCCGTTAGGCTATTACGCTGTTACGCTGTTAGGCTGTTACGCTGTCACGATGTTACTTTGTTACGCTGTTAGCTGTTATGCTGTTACGTTGTTACGCTGTTACGCTGTTTGGCTGTTTGGCTGATAGGCTGCTAGGTTGTTAGCCTGTTAGGCTGTTAGGCTGTTAGGCTGTTAGGCTGTTAGGCTGTTACGATGTTATGATGTTAGGCTATTACACTGTTACGCTGTTACATTAAGGGGGTCGCACGCAAGGGGGTCGCACGCAAGGGGGTTGCATGCAAGGGTGCTGCATGCAAGGGTGTTGCATGCAAGGGTGTTGCATGCAAGGGTGTTGCATGCAAGGGTGCTGCATGCAAGGGTGTTGCGGCAAGTCGGTTGAAGTAGTGACGAAGCTTAGGAGGATGCTTCGAGAGATTTCTGCCTCAGAGAGTGGAAGTGCAGAGAGGGAGACAGAGGAGAATGTACCGACGACGGAGGAGGAGAATGTACCGACGACGGAGGAGGAGAATGTACCGACGACGGAGGAGGAGAATGTACCGACGACGGAGGAGGAGAATGTACCGACGACGGAGGAGGAGAATGTACCGACGACGGAGGAGGAGAATGTACCGACGACGGAGGAGGAGAATGTACCGACGACGGAGGAGGAGAATGTACCGACGACGGAGGAGGAGAATGTACCGACGACGGAGGAGGAGAATGTACCGACGACGGAGGAGGAGAATGTACCGACGACGGAGGAGGAGAATGTACCGACGACGGAGGAGGAGAATGTACTAACAACGGAGGAGGAGAATGTACCGACGACGGAGGAGGAGAATGTACCGACGACGGAGGAGGAGAATGTACCGACGACGGAGGAGGAGAATGTACTAACAACGGAGGAGGAGAATGTACCGACGACGGAGGAGGAGAATGTACCGACGACGGAGGAGGAGAATGTACCGACGACGGAGGAGGAGAATGTACTGACGACAGAGGAGCGGACGGAGTGGATGAGAACTGCACCCAAAAAGAACATTTTTCTTGCACCACCCACCCACCTTGGAACTTGGCCTTGTGGAAGAGCACAGCACACAAGCATGAACTCATTATGGTGGAGAGGGCAGCATGCAGAGCAGTGCAGTGAGGGGCCCACCCACCTTGTAGAGGTTGAGAGCGTCTTGGAACTTGGCCTTGTGGAAGAGCACACACGCCTGCACTCATCATAACGCAGAGGGCAACATGCAGAGCGAGCGGTGCCCGGAGCATCAGCACCGAACAGCACAAAACAGTGACACATGCACAAACGCAAACACACACATAGATGCCACTGACACGTGGCAGCAAGGTACCACCATCAATCACAGCATCACAGCGACCGGCAATGAATTCTCCGCAACAATTCCACCTTCTGCAGAAGCGCCCCCCTCTTCCCCCAGCAGTACCTTCCCCAGCGACACCTTCCCCAGCGGCACCTTCCCCAACAGCACCCACCCTCCCCAGCAGCGCCAGCGCGTACCTACCCCAAAATTCCTTCCCTAGCAGTATCTCTCCCAGCAAGCAGTACCTTGCCTAGCAGAGCAGGCACATAGTCAGGCGCGCCAGCGAGGGCGAGGGAGAACATCTCCTCCGCCTGATGCACCTCGCCCTTCACCAGCTGCAGCTGCCCTGTCACGGGGAAAAGGGGGGGGGAGAGTGAGAGGGGGAAGGGAAACGGGAGAGAGGAAAGAGTTGCGGGGAAACGGGAACGAGCAGAGACGGGGAGAGGAGAGGAAGGGCAGCGAGGGCAAAGGAGGACATCTACTCCGCCTGATGCACCTCGCCATTCACCATCTCCCACCTTTCCCAGTCCCCAACTGTCCCTCTGCCCCCATCCAGCCCCCCACGTGCCCTCACCTTCCCCACCCACGTGGCGTCAGCTTCACTGCTGAAACGTGCAGCCTTGTTGGAAAACTTCACACCTTAATCAGCACCTCGTCGCACCTCCACCTCCACCAACCTAACCCCAACCTTCCCCCTTCCCTCGTCTTCCCCTCTGCCCCCGCATGTCCCTCTGGCCCCACCTCCTTGCTCCCACGCACCCACCTTTCCCCACCCACGTGGCCACGGCTTCACTGCTGATACGTGCAGCCTTGTTATAGAAGTCCACCACCTTGATCAGCACCTCGTCCCGCCTCCCCATTCGCCCCTTCTTCCGCATCCAACCCCACCACTCCCCACCTTCCCCCACCTCTCCTCACCTTTCCCCACCCACGTGGCGACAGCTTCACTGCTGATACGAGCAGCCTTGTTATAGAAGTCCACCACCTTGATCAGCACCTCGTCTCGCTTCTGCCGCCGTGCCACGCGCCCAGCCCCGTGTAGTGTGCTCCTAATGCGTTCAGCATGGCTATGCGCTCGTGGCGAGACGTCTCATATACTCTCTCCGCGTCTGGTGGAAAGGGAAGCGGAGCAAAGGGGGGGGGGGAAGCGGAGGGTGTGCTGGAGCAGAAGCATGTGATAGGCACGGCTCCACGGTCAGCCTGTGTAGTGCGCTGCGCGCCCAGGACACTACAAACAGGATGCGCGAACAGGACGAGGGATGATGGCCATGGGTGACAAACATAACGCTCGTTCCAGCAAACGTTAATCATGATGTGTGCCTAGCGTGAGAGCGTGTGTGGTGGAAGGGCGGTGGTACCTGGCGAGGTGCCTTCTGATAGGATGTCTAGGAATGCCGCTGTGTTGCCTTGCTTGAAGTACGCTCTCTGCGAGAAGAACAGCATGGGGTTGCGCGTTTTGACAACACAGGATGGAAAGCACGCAAGGGAGAGGGTCAGCCAAGGGACCTGGTTGCTGTCAAACGAAAGGTGTTGGGTGATAGTACATGTCCGTACGTGTCAGACCGTCTCAGTTCGTGTCAGTGCATGTTATTCCACGTCATTCCACGTCAGGACATCCAAATTTATGAAACCCAGGATGCCAGAACAGGTGTTAGCAATGCATCAGGGAAGGCCTCGCCCTGTGTGCACCCACCCCCAGGGCACCGACCTTTGTGCACCCACGTGAGTACTGAGCGTAATCAGATTTTTGTCTCTACCCGCCGCTGCGCACCCACCGCGAGGTGCAGCCAGCAGTCGAGCGGCGCCTGCTCGCCCTTGAGAATGTCGACCAGATCGCCGTGATCGGACGGCAGGCGATCCACGTCCACCGCCACCGCCTCGCCTGTGCCGTGCAGCGGAATCAGGATGTAGCGCGGAGCGCCGGCCTCCTCCACTGGTGCCGCCATGATTGCTCTGTTTTCAGTGGTTCTGATAAAAAAGGGTCATGCGGTGGAGTGACGAGCTGAAATAGCGGCTATGGACACAGCAGTAGAGGGAAACTTCAAGAGGCGAAATCCATAAACCTAACTAATGCGTCCAGGCTCCGCGTCTTGGAACCACAATGGCTTCTGGCATATCATATCGTTCGTAAGCATCGCCTCGGGACAAGGAAAATCGCCCTATTGATAACATCCACTATTCCGCTATA